AAACATGAGGGGGGGGGGGGAACACATGTGGGTCTGGCAAGAGGTCATGTTCCAAAGCATATCTAATTTAATTTTACAATCTGCAAGAAAACACGCTTCTGCTCTCCAAGTAGTTGGAGACGCGCTGTAAAATATGTCAGTTTTTACACCTCATTATGGAACCATTTCACTGGCTGAGATTTGCAACACTAAGTTTGTTTTGAATTTATAATAATTAAGGATGAATTTTAAGCAGATAGCAGCTATAGTTGTAATATTGAAAATAATTACATGATCAATAGGTTGACCATCAAATTGTAAAATGTATGCCCTAAATATTAAAACTGTGGCACATGTACTTGAACTGCATATCTCTGTGTGAAAAAAGGGCCTCCAGAGGCTGCAGACTCTCCAAAGCTGCATATGCTTGCTTGCTGGTGGTCCAGTCAGGCCTGGTAAAGACATTACTGCTGCATTCTGGAAGAACGGGGAGTCCTATAGACAGCGCTCACTTCTCTAAATAAACATTAGTCTTAAAAAGTTTGGCCCCACGACCTCGGCATGATCACATTTCACCCCTGGATAGTAAACTTCAACTTTATCATGAGGTTTCCCCCTTTTAGAAAACACACTTTCACGCCGAAGACGATTGGATGTCAACTAAAACAAAGTTTCCATTTTCACCTATCTGAGGAGGCACTGGAGACTAAGCAGAGGTGAAATTTGTTGAAGTTTACTCATCAACATCAACGTTTGTGCGTGAAATCAGACAGATTTAAACCTTGAAAATATATGATTACACATTGCATACTTAATGCATATATTTTTTTTCATGGTGTGTGATAATACCTTTTAGAGAGCAGATTGCAAATAAAAGGGTCAGTCCAAAGGTTTATGAAAGACCTTGCTTTACATTTTGTTAACACCAGCCGCTTTTACGGTTTTAACTCAATCAAAGTTAAAGTATAAGCTTGCAAAGTGCATGAAATCCTTTAAATCCTAAATCAATAGTCCAATTATAGGTCAGAATAAATCGGTTGGAGTTACCTTTATACTCATTGGACCTGCCCCTCATGCATTGAAGGTCAAACAGATGAAGCCTGCCAAAAAGCAACCAGCATAATGGTGAGAGAGCGACCTGCAACTGCTGCGCAAAAAAAGACGCTCAGCGGAAAGTGTTGCACCGCATTCAGACGCAGCTGATAAGCGATGACCAGGAGGGAGAGGGGGAAATAAGGAGGGAACCGGGTTAGAGAGGGGAAAGAGTTATGCAGAACACCCAAAGGTCATAATCAAACTGGCTCAATTGAAGTAGGAGCTAAGTTGATGAATGCGCGATGATTTAAATTAATGTTTCCCTCGTTTTTCCTATTAGAAATTTATTTTTGATATTCATATTCTTATTAAATATTTCGATAAAGGGGTTTATTTTTATTTTTATTTTATTTTTTTTTTGAGCAGACATATTTAATCTTTTTGTGTCATTAGGGAAATTACAAGTACCGGTATATCAAATTAAACAACAAACGTAAAAGTTCGGAATTTTTGTCTATTTTCCTTGCCTAGATTATCTTCTATTTAACTAGTGTAATGTTGTTGTTTTTTTTTTCTCTTATGACCGTTTTCTTTTGTTTGTTGTTGCTTTTTTCCATATATATATATATATATATATATATATATATATATATATATATATATATATATATATATATATATATATATATATATATATATATATATATATAAATATATATATATATATATATATATATATATATATATATATATATATATATATATATATATATATATATATATATATATATATATATATATATATATATATATATATGCATATAGAAAATATATTTTTCTATGCTATCCCTCCTTTATAGTGCTTTGTCGTGGTGTTTTACGATTTTATCACAGTAAAGTTAGGCTAAAACCTATATCTCTTAAGATCCGCTTAAAGTAACTTTATAGATACAGTCCCGGCTGTCCAAACATGAATATGTTATAACCTGAGGCGTATATTCTTCAGATAATAACATACTGCTGCTTACTGCAAAGATTTGTCAAAAGTTTACTATTTATTATTTTAGTATATAAAAGCATTTTATTTTAATAAGAAGTGTGTATCATCAGTTGCAGACTCTCCATTTGTCCTTATTGATACAGACCAGCCAAAGTAGTTCGTATCTGTGTGAGTCTCTGTGTGCATGCACCCGCTCACGCGCCGGTCCCTGCTCTTTGTTTTCTGCAGCAGGTGTTCCTTTAATGTCTGTTTATGAGAACCGGCGAGCGCGAACATCTTCCAGAGTTAATATTGTTCTTGCGGAGATGACGGAGAGTTCACTGTCCTTACTTTATTTACACATTCTAAATTAATTAAGCAGAGGATTTTTTTTCCTGCGCGTTGCAAAAACACGGGGGCTGAGCTGCAGGGAGACCGGGAGCCGCGCTGATTTATAGCGGCGCAGCAGATGCAGTGCCGCGCTGCTCCCCTCTCCTCCAGGACAGGGTTGGTGGGGGGGAGGGAGGGCCGCGCAGACAGTGCCAACATTCCTCTGCGGTAGCAAGGAGGGAGGCCTCGTGTGCGCGCGCGCACACACTCACGCAGCAAGAATTATGAGTATCATTTTTCAGTATTTTAACACTTAAGAGCTTATAGAAGTCTGTGCTGGGAGGTCATCCTTTCTTTAGGAACCAAAATGTTTAACCTTTTTTTTTTAATCCACTTTCGATGATTTAAAAAAGGTCGACAGGTGAAACTTTTAAATGCTCGTCTGTAGAAAATAGCCTATCTACGTATTTGAAGGAGTAAATAATAAAATCACAATAATATTATATTCATTATATTATATTATCATTTGTAATACTTTGAAGTCTCAACGACTTTAAAAACCTCTATTTCCACGCAGATTAATTTTATGAAACAAAAAGGAGTTATTATTCTATTACCCTCCTGCTGCCATATAAAATCCCTCACATTGCCTCTTCAGAACATTAAAGAAAAAAAATCCATCCACTGCGAGAGATTAAACATCAATAGATCGGATTAATCTGGATGATAATGAAATACTGATAAGGAAATTGTAATATTACCATTAGTAACATTATTTCTTTAAAAATTTTATCTCAATTTTAAGATAGCTACTTAAAGCTAAGAGAAGAGATCAATCTTGTTGACTTCTCTTAATAAATTACAGAGGCCCAAATTGCAGCTATAGCGCCCTATCTACGCATATGGAAGCATTTAGAAAAAATGGGAATTGCCTTGTATTTTATAAACGTGTTTATAGTGACTGTTGAGCCATTTTGCTGTCACTTCACATATCACTCAGTTCTGTTTTAAAGGGGAAAAAAATGACTAATGCCTCTGCGGTGCCTAAATGCGGGATCCGCTCTGATGGTGCGGGTGGTCCTTGGGTGACAACGGCTCGGAAAATTAGATATTTCAGAATTTGTCGACACGTTATGTCCTGTTTGTATTTATGTGAGAAATTAAATATGAACCGATGAATAACGGATAATGTCAATGCGCATCTGAGCAGAAAATCAAGTGAGCTCAATGCTTTTTAAATGAGTGCCTTGGACAGAGCCCTGTTTGGTGCGCAGTGCGCGCCTCTGTCTTGATGTGTGTGCATCTGTTCCATCCTCTGTCGTGATCTTTTTTTTTTTTCTTTTATTGGCTCCCTTTCCTCCCTGCCTTCTTTAAATGTTTTTAACCACCCCTGAAAACGCTTGATGTGGATCTTAATGGTCTGATGCGGTGTGTAATGACTCCCTGTGCAGATAAAAAAAAATTCAATAGTGTGCTAATGTTTTTTTCCAGGCCATTTACTTTGCAAATTGTACATGGAGAACATCCGTTCGCAGAGCATGAGTAGGGGATGTACTAATCAAAATTACTCCCCCTAAATCCGTATGCGACTTTCATCAGTTTTCCCAATTTCCACTAACGAGCTCAAGGAAAAGTAGAAAAGAAACAAAAAGCCGGAGTCTTGATAAAGACACCCTTTTATCCTCTATAATTATCTGTCAAAACACCCCCCGAACTAATTCAAGCCATTTACGCACAGATCTGCTAAATAATGGGGAGGGTCTTTGCACCTCCCCTCTGTATGGAAACATGTGGTCCAACAAGTTTTAAAAAAGACCAATAGGCCTGTTTTTCTGTTGCAGGACGAGTCCCACTGCTTCTCTTTATATGACAGAACGGATAGCATGAAAGCGGAGCAAAACCGAGGGCCTTTTGAGAAGATTGCTTTTCAGAAACTATATGTGTGTGGCTGGACCGCTCGCTGTGCGCGCATTCAGTCCCCTGGGCCAGGGGTCCACGCTGACAACATCAACAAGCGGGCAAAAAAAAAGAAAAAAAGCAGCATTCTGGTGGATTAGGGAGCCCGATGAAAAATGCTGTTACAAATTAGCAACGAAAGCCCCCCAAAGACCATGGGGATATCCTTGTTCACTTTCAATTACAGAGCGTAGAGGCTTGCTATAACGTTCTCCCTTTCATTTGAGGGGAGCCTTTGTAAGTCACTGGTGCTTTTACAAAACGAGCCAGACCCACACAAGAGGAATACTTGCCCACTGTTGCGTGATATTCTCCCATTTTAATGCACATCAACATTTAAAGACATATAAATTAACAAGTTGTACCCTTTTTTTTCAATTTTGTCAAGTATTCTTTCATATGTATTTAACACTTCATATTTTTTATTCAACATAATGGTTATTTGCTTTCTATTATTATTTTTTTAAATAAAAAATAGGATGCATCAATTTTCTGAGCAAAAATTGCAAATTCTGGTGCGTAAAATTATTTAATATAAACCCCTGCTATTGTTAATGGTTAGTATTTTTTTATTCACTGTAAGAAAAAATAAAAAGTATTTTATAAAGAATATTACTGAAATAAATTTGTTTTCCCTCGTTTGCACCACTTTGCATATTACAAATTTGAATGGTTCTGGCAAATTTGAATGCAAAAGACTCATAATAAAACAAAAGGGAAGTTTTCAATTTCTCAAACTCACAAACATTTATTATTCTCGATATTACAACAAAAAAAAGAACTGACCTATGAACATTTAGGTGCTCAGCTATAGGCAACACATGACAAACGTTTCAAAGATTCAACTGTAAATATTGGGAGGAAAGAACAGTTAAAAAGGCTGAGAGAGTCAATCACGCAACCTATATGTGTCCACTAACAACATGAAAAGATATTGCCACAACTTCACCTTGTAAAAGGGGACTAAGGGGGGAATTAGGGTGAAATTTATTTTTCTATAAATTCAGAATCCCCATTTTGTCTTAATGTGCTTCCTAAGTAAAACCTGAGTTTGCCGTCTCTTATCTATACCAACAACAATAGTGCCACTATCTTACAATAAACACAATAATAAAATTCTCAGTTATATTTATAAAAATGGAAATTAGCCCCACCTTTAACTTATGTTAAAATATCAGCTTCTTTTTATTTTTATTTATAAGTCCTACCAGCTGATAAATGGAGGCCGCAGACCTGCAGGCCTGCGTTGTGTTTGTTTTTAAGATCTTTCTGTGAGTTTTCTGTCTCTCAGTGTTATGCACATTATTTACATCACATAAATAAAGTCTCCTCTCACATTGTTAGGAAAAGCCCGAAACAAACTCTCTCCCTCTCTCTGCAGCAAAAATGTTCATCCTACCTTCACATAGGACGACGTCACAATTATTATTTCTTAGTCACTTTTTTCTGTCTTTAGAAAGGACAAGTGTTCAAGTTGGTGTTTTTGTTGGGAAAAGTCTGAACCTGTGGAGATGCTTGGAATAGGGGGTCTTGGGAAAGGTTGAGGTGGTTGGAAGCGGAGGCCAGCGCTGGGGTGAGCATGGCCAGGATCTGAGCCTGGCTGCTGCTCTGCGCGCTGTAGGAAGAGCCGCTGGAGTTGGCCGCTCCTATGATGTTGTCGATGGAGAAGGAGGGTCGACTGGCTGTAGAGCTGGCGTCCGTCTTTAGGGGCGGCAGGGATGGGCTGAGCTGAGGGTAAAAGGGCTTCCTCAGGTCGGCCCCTAGAAGGGAGGGCAGGTGATGCGGCGCGGGGAATATGGATGCAGGTGAGGGCAAGGTGCAGGGGGTGTTGGGGAATGGGAAGGACCCCCCCGCGTGATGCGGGTGGAAAGGGTTGTGGGCTGCGTGGAAGTTCTGCAGCTGGAGTCCGTAGTTGTATCCGTACGGGCCGTATCCGAACCCGGGCAGAAAGCCACCGGAGTCCCTGAGGATTTCGTTGCTTTGGTGCCTCTTGAAGCGTTTCCTCCTGCGCAAGAAACTCCCATTGTCGAACATGTCCGCGGAGTCCGGGTCCAGGGTCCAGTAGTTGCCCTTTCCTGGGTTCCCGGGCTCCCGTGGGATTTTCACGAAGCAGTCGTTCAGGGAAAGGTTGTGGCGAATGGAGTTCTGCCACGCAGGGAATTTCTCCCGGTAGTAAGGGAATCTGTTGCTGATAAACTCACAGATCTCGCTGAGGGTGAGGCGTTTCTTTGGGCTCTGCAGGATGGCCATGGTGATCAGAGCGATGTAAGAGTAGGGAGGCTTCACAAGTGCGCTTTTTCTGGGTTTGTCCCCAATGACGGTCCCAGGCTCCGCGCTGGAGGGGCAGTCAGAGCTGCTGAGCCCCGGAGAGGAAGCCCTCTCTGCTGCGCTCTGCGAGTAGTTATCGTCCGAGTCATTGTCCAAGTTAAACTCGTGCTGAAGGTATTTCCCATCTCTTCCAACGGATATGTCCCCGCCGACCACATCAATGTCTACATCTTCGGACAAAGCAGAGCTGTCGGACATATCCGTCCCTAAAGTCATCCTCGGAGGCTCGATCACTCTTTCCAAGATTTCTTCCCTTTTCTTCTTCTCTTGGAGCGCAAAGGGAGCTCACACCCCCTCCCTTTCTCCCTCACAACAAGCTCTTTTTAGGGGAGTGTTATCGCAAACTGGTCAATGAACACATTATTACAGCAGGAAAGAAACAGAGAACTAATTAAAACCTAGGGATGTCGAGGTCTCTTTAGCATCCAAGGCTGGTTTATAAAAGGAAAAATTGAGAAATCGGAGGCACGCGCATAAATAAAAAAAAAGTCAGCCAAAAATATAGTCACCGCAAGTTTTCTTCAGATGCGATGAACTTCTGTGTATCCAAATGACTTTCCTAACCAGGTTTTACACTCGAGATTGGGAAGGTATCCAGCCGGACTGTCATACTATCACCCTTTGCTTTCAAATGGTATTTATAGGAGCACGCTGATCACGTGGTCTTTGAGTCACACTTACCAGGAACTGGCTTAATTTCTTTCTTTTTTTTCTTTTCTCAAAAACGCAATATTTTGATTTTTTTTTTGTTAACATATATGGCGAATTCCTCTTCATTTTATCTTATTTCTACTGTTAAACCATGATTAAAAAAAAAAAAAAACAAGAGGCAGATCAATAGTGAAATTACACGCTGTTATAAATGGATATGGATTAAATTCAGTGTACAAAGCTCTAAAACTTAAGTGCGACAAATTAAGTTAAATGAAAAGGGCTTTATTGACATCTGCATTGATTTTGTGGCCTCTTTGTAGGCTTACAGAAATACGAGCATGTGAGATTTGGACTTTCTGACGAATTGCTTAACAGCGGAATAAAAAAAAGGAATCCAAATATACGTAAAGTAAATTGAATTAGTTTAAAGTCATTAATTCAATTGTTCTTTCTCAGTACCTAGGTCTATATTGTTTTAGTTAAAAAAGAAAAACAATATCATATTGACATAAAAGCACAAAAACAATTATAATCTTCATTCTTATTAATAGTAGCAGGCATTTTTTCTCGTTTTTCTTCTCATTATTATTGCATAATTATACTTTTTTTCGCACCTTACCTAAAATAGGATGTGTTAAATACTTCATACATACATCTCTCTCCTATTTTTTTTTTCTTACTCGTAGATGTTTAGAACTTGCTAGAAAACACGAATTATGTACGCAGTGCTTGAGAAAATTGCAATTTGTCTTGTCCCAACTTTTATTATTATTATTATTATTATTATTATTATTATTATTATTATTATTATTATTATTATTATTATTATTATCATTATTATTATTATTATTATTATTATTATTATTCGTGTTTCTTTTTGGGGTTTTGTTGTCATTTTGAGCCCGGGGGTTTGTAAACATGACCAACAATAATTAGTGTATATGAGTTACAAAAGCATTTAGGAAATCGAGGCGCCAATCTGTGTCTAGTTTTCCTCATCAAGGTTATAACGTCAGCAGATGATGTGTGCAATACTTGCTGGATCATTTCATTCATCAAACTGCAGCATTCTTGTCTCTGGTGCGTCCAGTCAGGGCCGCTCTAATAGAGGGTGAGGGACTTTATGACACCTACAATAAAAGATGGGTTAAAGGTGTACACTGGATGTTTTTTATCTATTATTTTTTCTTTAGGCCTATTTTTTTTTTCTTTATGATTTTTTTTTTTTTTTTTTTTTTTTTTTTTTTTTGCTGTTGTCTTTTATTTTTATTTATTTATTTTTTTAAGGTTCAAGGTTAAGGTTCATAAATAGGTTTTTTAATTATGTGCTTGGCAAAACATATTTGACGTTTATCTAATACTTATTAATTGCTATTCGTCTATTTCTTTCTCTCTTTTTTCATAAATGTATTTTTGTGTTGTCTTCGTGGTTAACGTGTTAATTGTTCTGATTATAAGAGATCGACAGTGAGAAATGTGTTTTACTGGCATCAACTATTTGGAATACTTTACATAACTTAGTTTTTTGTTTATTTGTTTTTTGTTGTTGTTTTTTAAGGGCGTTCCGCTCCGTAATATTGAGGCTCAATGCGGTCTTTTGCATTTTAACATCTGTAGGAAAATAAAACCAAAGAAGTAAACAAAAAACACATGCTCATTTTAATAAATAGAATTTATTAAGGGATTTGTAAATTTAAACTCTTTGTCTGTACATCTTAAGCTGTTCTGTTTTCCCGAGTGTGAAGGTTCATTAAGCCAATCAATTTATTAGCGATCCGGATAGGATTGCTGGGATTTGTGATGTGTAGGCGCCCCCTGCTGGCCCTTTTTTTTTTTTTAAGGTTCGTATTTGGATATAAATCTATGTGGAGTCTCTATAAAAATCCACAATTTCCAGCCACATTTATGAAATATTCTTTATGGATGAGTTTTTTATAGCCCAAAATGGAATAAATGTGGGACGAACGTAAACGATGAAAAATAATTCACTTGGTGTTTGAGAGTGGTTGTAGGGCCAGCAGCACATAACAGGCCTATATGAACGGGTTTGTTTGATTTCTTTTGTTTGATTTTGTTAAATTGTTAGATTTTTTCTAAATCAAACAATTTCGGCTGATTTTTTTTATTTTTTATTATCTTCCATGTACTTTCTACTATAAAAGAGGAAGAATTTGTTAGGAAAAACAGAGATGGTTCAGTGAACATCTTACTGTTGCTGCCATCTAGTGGTTAAACCTGTAAATTCCATCTGGCGCGTTAGAGAAGTTATCCATGTGGACTGTGGACACCAAGACGGATGGATGGATCTTTAGTTCAACATTAAAGCTGTATTATTAATATATATATAAAAAAATAAAATAAAAAAAAACTCAAGGTACCATCACATGATGGTCAGCGATAATTATTATTCAGGTTTCAGCAGCGCTACAGGTTATGAATAAATTCGGAAAGCTTACTTCATCTGAGCATTCTATTACAGTGATTTATGACGTGCCATTTGTTATGGAACTTATATTCATTAATATTTTTGCATAATATTATAATATAGTTTGGAATAACTTGCCTCTGTTCTTGTGCCGGGTTTTAGATCAGTGCTGTTGGTAGACAGGGGCTGAAATGTCACTTATCAACACTCTAAAAAATGCTGGGTTATATTATCTAGCAAAAACGCGAGTTATGGAATTCTTTGCCCATTATGAGTTATAATTAGGATTGGATTATTTTAAAGGGACTTGGGTTATTTTTTCCATTAATTTTATTCATGCAAGTAAAGTATTGTATTTTATAGCCAAGGCTAGTTGGTTGATTTGGTTATTAGAATTTACTGAATGATCTAATTACCCCAGTCCATAATTGACTTGAATTGACCAAAAAGTGCACTTCGATCTTTGTTTTCTAAAATATGCCTTTTTCCTGACCAATAGGAAGAAAACTGAAATCTCAATTTGTTTCTAAAACAACAAACCAAGGACACTCCTTTTTAAAAAAAAAATATTTATTTCCAGCATGGTGGTGAGCAATATCATACTTGTAACATATTAAGCTATATTAAACTATATGCAAACCAAACATCACAAAACATGTAAATAGAAACAGCAATTATGAAAAAAGTTGGAAACAACTTTAAAAAAATAAAGATTGAATGCTTCAAACGGATATAAATGGCTTTACATCCTTTTTGCATGAATGCTTGTTTCATGCATTCATTCCATTATGATGCTGCAAATGTCCTTTTTATCTTAGAAGACCTTATCTCACATATACCTCTCTAATCCTGTGGTGAAGTTGCCCTGTCTCATGTAGCTGTTGTTGGAGTTCATGGGGTTTGGAAGGCCCAGGAGCTGCTCTGTGTGATCAGCGCAGGATCCATGGCGCAGTGGAGGCAGGGACAGCCTGTTACCTGAACAGTACACCTGAGAGCCTCCGGGAGAGAAGCCGGGCTGGCTCATGGAGGGCAGGTTCGGAGGGGATGCTGAGGAATAAGGATACCCTGCAGGAAGGTTGGAGGGGTTTCTGCCCAGCATGTTTGCTCCAGGGTTCACAGTCTGGGCCTGAAAGCACGCAGACGGATCGGTGCTGATTACCGAGCAGCTGGAGGTCATGGCCCCCAGGTCCCCGCAGCTCAGACCCAGCGCCTGGGTGCTGAGCTCCGCGCCCGGACCGCCCTGCGCAACGCTCTGCTGGCTGATTATGTTATCGATGCTGAACATGCGCGACTGTCCCTGTCCGACTCCCGGGGGGGTCTGGTAGTGATGCATCATCGCTGGATGCGGGGATGTGGCAGTGAGCTGGGATCCATACCCTGAGCCGATCCCTGCATACAGCGTGTTGGGGTAAGTGGGCCTCCCCATGGGGGTCGGGGTAAACGCGCTGGAGCTCTGCATGTAACCAGGATAGGTGCTTACATCTGTGCGCTTGAACCTTTTCCTCCTCCTCAAAAAGCTGCCGTTATCAAACATGTCCTCTGCTGCAGGGTCCAAAGTCCAGTAGTTGCCCTTCCCCGGCCTGCCGGGCTCCCTGGGGATCTTCACAAAGCAGTCGTTAAGGGTCAGGTTGTGGCGGATGGAGTTCTGCCACTTTTTGGAGTTCTCCCTGTAGAAAGGAAATCGCTCCATGATGAATTTATAAATGCCCCCCAGGGTGAGCTTCCTCTCTGGGGAGTTAGCGATGGCCATGGCGATGAGAGCGATGTAGCTGTAGGGAGGTTTCCCCCTCTGGACCGGCCTTTTCCGCCGCCGGCTGCCGGTGGGCAGGTGCTCCTCGGCGTGGCGCACCGCGCCTCCGTCCTCTGCGCCGGGGCTGCTGCCTTGGGGCTCAGATTTGATCAGGATGCTGTCCTTAGGCCGGGCCTGCAGCATCGGAGGCAGCGGCGAGTCCAAGCTCATGTTTGGAGACAAGACGTCAGGGCTTATTGCCTCTGCAGGCGACGGCTCTGCGGTCATGTTGCACATGCCAGAGAAATAAGAATAATTTGCCAGAGTCATAAAAGAAAAAATGCGAGAACCTTTTTTTTTTCTTTCTTTTTTGAGTCAAAATGACCAGATTTAGGTTTTCCAGTGGAACGCTCAGGCAGATGCGTATTTTAGCTCGGACAGTTTCTCTTGCCAAAATTATCCCTATAGAGCGCTGCAGTTTGGGATGGTGTGTGTGAGTCCAGGTGAGAGAAAGGCGTTGACAGTTTTATAAGACTTGGCAGGAGTGACGCCACAAGGTCCACACAGATGACGCCTGACAAAAGAGGTCCCACAACCCTCCCACTAAACACTGACTTTATCTCACTGTACGGTAGCTTTTTCACAAATTAAAACAGCCTTTGTTGACAATTTAGTGTGCCTGATTACTTATAACAGCTTTTATACCTCTCTAAACACATAACACATAGACAGACTTAAAATAAGAATTTAGTAATGTATGAAATATCAGCTATTTATGGTACGATTTCATTGCAATCAAGAGTATTAGT